AAGGAACATACACCTTCTTTAACCAAATTTAGCTTTTGAAATTTCACTGTGACATTGTAGCCTCATACATCCAGGCATGTATAGATTCTACTAGCAAACCCGCGCAGTCAAATTCTTTCTAACAGACAGTCAACAAATCCAAGTTTAAACCTCCTCTTGAGGGTCAAAAGGTTATCTGACACTTACTCTTCGCCATGTCAGCAGAAGGACATTTCATGGTCCTTTTAATAAAGCCATAAAAATGCTAGGTCACGCGCTGAAGACAAAAAAGTTTTTCAATCGCTCCGTCAGACCATGTCCTGCCAGAAAATGTCTAAAATCTGCCCTGTGCCCACTGACCTTTGACCTGTGACCTCCAATTTCGGCACAGTGATGGCTTTTCCTACCATGATGCTATACACCGACTATCACGAGCCTAGGTCGAGCCGTTTAGATTTGTGCCGCAATTCTGCATTTCCTCCCTATACCTTAAGTTAAGGTTGAATGTTCCCCCTTCTTTTACACCTCTTGACCTTTGACCTTGACCCCCAGCTTCGACATCCCAACTCGTTTTCAGATTACCGCCCCACATCCTGAATATCGTGACCGTACGTCGAGCGGTTAAGATTTGTGCCTAACTGTTGACGGACGGACGCACGGACGGACGGACGCACGGACGCACGGACGATCATGCGATTCTACAAGCTGCATCTGACTATGTCAGATGAGCTAAAAAACCAACTTCGCATAGTGGCAACTGCAGTAATGTTACAACATGCACGATTAACATTAACATGAATATGGTCATTTACCTTGGCACATATGCTGGCTGCACTCACTATGGGATACAGTGAATCAGCTTTTTTCGCAACAGTTATCTTTAGGCCGGGGAGATTCTCTTGCAGTTTCTGCTGGTATTTGGATGGATCTCCCACCGTATCCACATACACCTGACCAACATCAGTAAAATGAAAACTTACAGGCAAATATTATCTAAATAAAAATGTATCTGAAGCATAAGGCAATTCCATCGTATACGAACAACTACCCACTGGACAATTACCCCCCGGTCAATTACCCACCAGGACAATTACCCACCCGGAGGATTACCCACCAGGACGATTACCCACCCGGACAATTACCCCCGGACAATTACCCACCCGGACAATTACCCACCGGACAATTACCCATCCGGACAATTACCCACCAGGACAATTCCACCAGGACAATTACCCCACCCCAGACGATTACCCTAGCCCCCCCCACACACCGTACAGTAGTGATGATTCATCTAACGAACCAACTCATGATTTCATAATTTCAACTTCAACATTTGCTGATACTGCCGATATTTTGACTTATTTGCCGACATTTTCCGATACCCGATTTGAAGTTCATATCGGCAAGTATCGGCCTTCACCTGCGCATCAGCAGCGAGAGCGAAGCGCAGCACCAATGCACACGTACATGTCTAGACCATTTTCTGGGTCGCTTAATACAATGAATAACATCAGGGGCGTAAATCCGTACCGAGGAGTGGGGGGATGGTCGGCGATAGCCATCACATACTAGCACGAGCACAAGCCCACAATTATTTACGCACACGCACGCAATCCCGCACGCACGAACATACACACACACGCACGCACGCGAACGTACGCACGCATGCACGACGCACGCACGCACGCACACACAACACACACACACACACACACAAACACACGTACATACATTTATACATGCATACATACATGCACGCACGCACGCACGCACACACGTGCATTCAGCCATTTTCCTGCAATCTGAGGCATACTGTGGGCCATATTCTCATGTCTGATGACACTATCTCAACCCTAGACTCAACCCTACAAGTTAGGATTCAAAACACTTTTCTTGACTTTTCAGAGAGCGTACACAGTTAGGTTACTATAGTAATAATACATGTATTAAAACACAGGTAAGAATTGCAATTTCTCACAATTTCACGTGTTTTTGTATGTTTGCAACCATACTTTTTGGCTATTATTTTTTTCTGTTTTTTTTTTGAATCTCAGGGGAGATATTTGTACAGGCCATCCCCCCCTCCTTCAAGAGCGGGGGGGATGCATTCCCCTATCCCCCCGGGATTTACGACCCTCCTGGCACACACGCACAAACAGTTACATAACATAACGTACATGGCCAAGAGCAAGATCATTTGGGGATACAACATTTCCGTCATTATAGGAGGGGTAGGGGACTCCCCCCCCCCGCCCATTATCGACGCCGCTGTTCTCTGAACACATGGGGTAGGCATTTCTCTTTCTCTCTTTTCCAGACATACATTATGTATTGCAGCGGACAAAAATTTACGGAAGGGGGAATTTTTCCCTTATTGGAAGGTTAGGTGGGTAATTGTCCTGGTGGGTAATTGTCCTGGTGGGTAATTGTCCTGGTGGGTAATTGTCCTGGTGGTATTGTCCTGGTGGGTAAAATTGTCCGCTGGTGGGTAATTGTCGCGTGGGACGTGTGGGTATATGTCCTGGTGGGGTACATTGTCGCGGGGTGGGAGGGTAATCGTCCGGGTGGGTAATCGTCCGGCTGGGTAATTGTCCTGGTGGGTAATTGTCCGGGGAGTAATTGTCCGGTGGGTAATTGTCCAGGGGGTAGTTGTCCTAGAATCCAATTCCATGTTCAACCATCAAAAAATACCTCCAGTCTAAAGGTACAAAAACATGTAATATGTGTGTATAACCACTGACCTCTTCAACTTGCACTCCATCTTGCAGTGCAGCTTTCACCAATCCTATCGCAGAATCGTGGGAAATCCAATTCAAGTTATACTTTGACCTAAAAGTACACAAATAGCTAGGACACCTTAAAAGCCCCCCAAGTAAATGTTTAATAGTAAAAGGACAGGTGTCCTTTAGTAAAAGGACAGGTGTCCTTTATCAGACAACTCATAAAATGTGCTGATAACATTCACTGTTAACCTAATTCTATCCAATCTCCACCAATCCAGTCACAGCCTGTTACAGGAGGCAGAGCTATCGACCTATCCATCCATCATTCATCCGTCCATTCATCCATCCATCCATCCACCCACAAACCTATTTTTCTATCTATCTATCTGTCCGTCCGTCCGTCCACCCAGCCAACCACCTACCCACCTAATCTATCTATCTATATCCATGATGCATCCATCCATCCATCCATCCATCCATCCATCCATCCATCCATCCACCCTTTTACCTTTCATGATTGGCATGATGAGAAATATGTATATATTAAAATAAGTACCTTCTTAACATTGCATTTGAGATAAATGCAGGTGATAAAATATCTGTCATCCAACCTATCCATTCAGAGCATTCGTTAATCTTTTCCATAAGCTGTTCTCGTTGCTCCTCCGTCAATGTCTTAGAGTCTGCAAAACTGTTCTTTGTGAACTCCTCCTTTCTAGAGATTGGGGAATAGCAAATGCCATACACCATTGGACCTGAAATCAAATAATTAGTTACTGAGAGTGAACGCATGGCTATCTGTATAGTATTATTGTTATGTACTGACACCCGATAAGAAGTTAACTTATTTTGTATTGTTGAGGACATTAAAGTAACTATTGTGAGAGTTTTCCAGTGTTTTCCCCACTTTCATGATAACTACCGTTATTGCTTGAGTAACAGCAATTGTCTAGAGTAACGATAAAATGTCTTAGAACCTTTGTATTCACCAAATCGTGCACGATTACAATTTTGCGTCCTGTTTGTTTACCGTTGCCATCTCTCGGACTTTCTCGCAGTAGCGCGAGACATCTATCACGGTGCAGTAATGCATATAGTCGCGCCGCAAAAATCAGGTCAGAGTGTAACCACAGACGTTCATACTAGCGTAACAGGAGAATAGTCCTAATGCCACGTAAAGTCTGTTATTAGAGAAGCTTGTGGATTACCAGTCAGTTAGTAACACGGGAATGACAATGACAGAAAGTGCTCTGAATTATTGACATAATGAAAGTGTCAATGACACTGTAGCTCACCAGAAAAAAAGACACAAATGAGAGTGAGAAGAAGTCAGTTATAATTGAGCAACCATCGACATATATTATAGAAACAAAGAGTATATATGGGAGAACTCCCATTATATACTCTTCATAATTATATGTGTAATTTTTATGTGAAAATAATAAATAATATTATATATAAATTATAAATAATTTATAAACCAAAATGAATCACAATTTGTGACGGTAGATGGCGCTATACCCGCTTTGATATTTCTTAGC